TCTCTCTCTCTCCCTCTCTCTCTCTCTCTCTCTCTCTCTCTCTCTCACACACACACACACACACACACACACACACACACACACACACACACACAGAGACAGAGCCTCTCTTTTCCTCTCACGCGCGCTGACGCGGTTTGGTTTTGTTTGCTTTGAGTCTCTTGCCGACGAAACTCTGTCGAACCTTTCTAAGAGCAAGCTTGCGCCCACCACCTAGAGATATGTCGTTGGTCCCCCCGAGTGGCATTGAGAAGAGACTGCTGATGTTCATAGGGGAGGGGAGCAGAGGGGAGGCACAGTGACTGGCCCATGGAAGAAGCTAGGTGCCGATGCGACCGGCTGACCCCTGACCGGTATTGCCCACCTATTGTAGCAGGTGTCGCACCTGCTGGTTTGTGCAGCTCCCTCATCTTCCGTCCTCGGAGGCTTGAGCATGGATGTGGCTGCTACAGGGTTCCCCGTAACTTCATAATGACAATATAAAAAGGCCTGAAAGGCTGTCGACCGCTATTTGAATTGGTTAGCCTTTTTTCAATAAATTGTTTTTTTTTTTTTTTTTTTATAACTAATCTACATTCTTCTCCCAATCTTCTTTGTATATATTTTCCTCATCTCATCCTCTCGCTACTCTATGTTAGACTATGTATAGTACGGGGGAACACCAACCACACCTGGAACTCTTCCCAGCCCATGGGCCGAAGGGGTAGGTTGGCACCACAGCAGTGGTGCGAGAGCAAAGCTTGTATCAGCCCCTCATCACGATGATGCGAGGTGATCAGGCATTGCTGACGGGGAAACCCGCGATGCTCGTGCCAAGCATCTTTGGCCAGTCACATGCACCTCCCCCTATCCCCCTCCAACCCCATATTTTGGAGAAACAAAAGTTGAAGGATTTGGGCCTCTTGCTGTGTGACCACGCCAGGCACCATTTTGGCAATTGCCAGAAAGTCCGGCTCGTGTCTTTTGTGATTTGGGCCTTGTGCTATGTGACCAGGCGGGGTGGCATTTCAGCAAAATCAAAATAGGAAAATTGGCAGATTTTGCTGCTACGCCACCATTCTGAATTGCCTGGGGCGGGTGAGTTCAATGATGATATCTAAAAAAAAAAAAAAAAACCGCTTTCCTCGTGGCAGCTTTCCACCAATTATCTCAATTGTTGGGGAGAGTCTAGCTGATTCAGCTTTGTGCAGCACTGCAGCTGCATTGGCAGCCATGCGGCAACGACTTTGTAGACCTGTAGTGATTGTCTTGGCCTGCAATGACTATCGAGGCCTGGGAAGGCTTCCATTACTATGTAGGCCAGCAATGACTAGCTGTGTCTGATTCATACTGACCTCGATTGGGATGCTCATCTGATGCTTGGTTTTCTGTCGTTATGGTCGGATTGTCAACGTCATGTGTGTGGGTGCATTTGGTTGTCCATTTTTCTTCCTCGATGTGAAGCATAACCAGTCGAACTTGTGTTCATCCTTAGTGGCCTCTATCTGGAAACCTTGCGCAAAGAACCCTAAGGGTTTTGAGGTTAAGTACGTTCTTTTCACATCAGAGATTCATTGCCTAAGGGGGCAAAGAACATGCGTGGGCAAAGAAACCAGGCACGAGTTTGAAAAGGGCAATGAAAGTACTGTTGCCGTGGCGTTAGGCCGGGTGTCTTCTTCTTCTTCTTCTTCTTCTTTTTCTTCTTAATTGGTCCGATGGACCACAGATCAGATATTAAACTGATCAGAACAGTACTACACTTGATCTACTTTTAGCCAAAAGGCCGAGAAAGGTATTCGGGTGTCATATTTACAGGAGGAAGGGAGTGGAGCTGGAAGGGACAAATGACTTTTGGCAGACTGCTTCACATTGATCGTGTCCACATGTGGCAAATGACTTTTTTTTTCTTTTGTAACCTAAAAGTCCATGGTGTTGTAGAGGCCAGTCACTGAGTGCACACTGCACAGTGATCACCTAGAGCAGTAGGCCGTCGGTGGCTTGAAATATGAGACCACCTCCCATCCCATCCTCATGTCAATACTCCTAGCGCACCCCCTATCCCACTATCCTACCTCAGTGTGACCAGCACACTCAGGACCATTGCCCTACCATTGGGTAGGCAACTTGGACCGAACAGCAGTGATAGGCAATAGGGCTGATAGGTTGCCCACCCATGGTGGAAGCGGAATCGGACAAGCCTTGTCGAACGGGAACTTTGGACGCCAGGCCCAGACAATCTACTACAGGCCCCAAGAGACTCTGGGCCCTAGGTTCAGACAGGGTAGCACCCATTGAAGCAGTCTTACCGTCCTTCCCCTAGCTTACCCAAGGCCAGGCGGAACTCAGACTGGCCTGAGCGACTTATACCCCTACCCTTACCCCAGGGTCTAAGCTTTATATATAGCCACTGGACAGTTCTATCCAAATATCAGTAGGAACTCCGGTGGCCCATACCTGTCCCTACTGCAGATGCTAGACCCCACACAGTGACTAGACCCCCCCAGTCTGATAGTTGTGTAGTTGTGATCTATGTGTGTATCCGAAGACTGTATGCTTCGTGTATCTGTGTATCAAGATGTGCAGACAGCACCATACGTGGAAACTTGTGTATGTAGCCCGTAGGCCATGTATAATTCGCAAGCTGTGTATATATGCCCGAAAGCTGTTTGTGCTCTGTGAATCAATGTATCAAGATGTATAGGCAGCATCATGTGTGTATATCGAAGAGAGAACGGGGTAAGCTGGACAAGGACCCCCCCAAGATCCGAACCAAGCTCGAACCCATGACCTTGAAACATGTAATCGTATGACTCTACCATGTGGACGAGTAGTGGAAATGGCACGAACGTGTGATATTCCAGACTGGGGAGATCAACAGAACACCCAAGACCAACACCCCCAAGCAACCCATGTGAAACCCAGAACCAACATACAACACCATGAACAACCGTTGGGTGGTGCGCAGGCGGTGTCTGTAATAGCCAACCTGCGTCATCCCAAGGTTGTCCAGCCGTGCGTCACTCTAACGCCCTGCCGGTGTCCATGCGCAAGGTTGCAATTGAGTTTTCAACCCGCAACCTCCTACCACAATGCGCATTTCCAACCGGTGCTCTAACCACTGACCCACATCAACTCAGCCTCCTAATGAGTCAGGGAAACGCGGAGTGGAACAGTCGGTCGATCACAGCCCCTCATATCTCTTGTCCTGTTCTCCATCCCTGCCGTAGGTTTAACGGGCAGTTCTGATGGACAATATATGTCAACACCTGGCGGCTGACTACACAATGCCATTTTATCAGCAGCTCAACTGTGGGAGGTTGCCGTGTGCAGGGGCAGCTCTGCCAGCAGCTACTGCTGTTTTGCTGGGCACCTCTGCTGCTGCTGTTGTGATTTTGTTGAGCTTCGCAGCAGCAACAAAACATCAGCAGCAGGGGTGCCCAACGAAACAGCAGCAGCAGCAGAGTTGCCCAAAAAGAACAGCAACAGCAGCACCTGAAGTGCCCAACAAAACATCAGTACACGAGTTAGTAACTTGAAGTGCTGAGATACTCCAGCAAACGGCAACAGGGGCTAAGGTGCTGATAATTGAGAAAAAAAAAAAAAAAAAGCCAGCAGTTGTAATTGCTGCTGGTCACAGCAATGGTCGTGGCAACACCAGTCGCTGTGGGGACACAGCGTGCGTGCGCATCAAAGACGGTAGCAGTGGCAGCGGCAGCAATGACAGCTGATGAGCTGCTCAGCAAGAACACCAGTAGCATTGCGATATGAGTGAAGAGAGATTCCATTTCTGTTACCCCCACTTTAAAACTCGGCACCCTATATCCCTGGCACATGCAACTAAATTTAAAGGCCCATTGAATTTCTCTGACAGATAGCGACGCCATTGTCAATCCAGCTGAGGTCCCTCATGCAACTAAAAGGCCTACACTCCCTGACACATGGTAATGCCATCATCAATCGAGCTGAGGTACTGATAGTCACACTAAAAAATCTGTGTTCAGGGGGGGAATCCGATATAGTCTGGTCAGGTGACTCAGGTCCACTAAAGAACAGCATCAGCGATTTTTATGCCAACGCATTGCGAGAATTTGAGACCAAATGCAGATACAGACTGTGATAACGAAACTATAGCGGAAGCAAAGAAAGACAAAGTTTGAGAAAGCACATCTGTGTGTCCTTTTCACAATCAGACTGACAGTTTCCTGCAGTGATGGATGCGTAATTGCCCTGACGTACCTCGCTCGTGCAGCTCTGCCACAGTCTGCACTCTGGATCATTCAATATAGCTGCAGAACGGGGGGTGGATGTGCCCCGCTCAACGGGGACATAAATGCACACACCTATTCTTGCATCCGGTGCAGACAGATCCGACGAATTTTCTATACCCAGATTCCCCACTGTAATTAGTTTCTTTCTGAGAGAAAAATTAACAAAGTCTGTCTATAAGAAAGCCACGGCGGAGTCAGCTTCGAGATTTCCGGTTAAATAACTTCACGTAATTAAGATGATACACAGAGCGTTTAACATGGCCCCTGCTCCAGGCTGACAGACTGTGAAAAAATGGCCACAATTATTGCTAAATGCCCCACATAACAAAGAACCAAAACCAAAAAAAAAAAAAAAAAAAACTCTTATAGTTCTATTTTGGTACTTCGTATACCAAGGACCCACCATACCCACAGCATCCCCGAGCTGTCCAGCGATGCACGAACTCTGGAGGCAGGCATGCAGGCAGGCAGGCAGAAAACACTCAGGCAATGCATGTGTGCACACACCCAGAATGTGCCTGGCTGGCCAGAGGAATTATGCGCTCTGGATGCATCCACAAAGAGTGTATTGTGCGATGGATGCATCCACAAAGAGTGTATTGTGCGATGGATGCATCCACATACAGTGTATTGTATTCACATGTGAAACACTGAGATCCATACAAGTTCGTATTACAGAACAGCAGAGAGCAGAAAGGCAAAATTTACGACAGGGATAGAAACACGCAGAGGCAGACAAGCAGAAGAGGGAGAGATAGAGGGAGAGAAACACGAAAACATATGGCGTGTGAGAGAAAAGCACCCATGTGTGTCACGTTTCGAATCGGGAGGCCATTTAATACGAAGCTCTGGTGGTAGACTGGGGCATATGTAGCATGGGAAGGGGGGGTGGGGGGAGAGGGGGCACGCGCTATCACTTCATAAAACAGTCTGAAAGATATCTTGTGAAACAGTCTAAAAAGCCAGTCTTCGTTATTCCCCGCACGTCAACCCCCCGGCATTTGTTAACAAACGGCCTGGACAACAAACTTCACTGTTTCCC